AGTGGGGGGGGGGGGGGGTACATTTAAAGGCGTCATTATAAGGAAACTATCATGATAATCATCAACAACTTATTTTGTTGACCCTAAAAATAAAATAAGAAAAAGGGAGACTTGATCAGTCAAGTTAAAACTTCCTACTCGCTTCCCCTAGTTCACCCAATAAATGCTCCCTTGCTTCTTCCCTATTGCGAATAATTCAAAGCTTTTCTAGAGATGGTGTTTTCTTGAGTGATAGCAAACACAACAGAGCAATCCATTACCTTCAACTTTCATTGTTTGCATGCATAATTCACACTTACCTTCTCCAAATGATTTTCATTCTTCTGCTCTGGTCAGGATCCAAGCAACAACGGATCACAACATACAAAAATCTTCAAAATTCCTTATGCTCGCAATCTCTCTGTGTTTGTATGATGCAGAAGCCATAGAAGAACCAACCCTTCGCTAACAAGTCGCTGCATACAAAAGCTTCTTATGCTCTTCTGCCTTCGCTCCCTCTTGTGATAGCGATTTGCGCTACAGTCACAATTACTGGTAGCAGGAAGAGCAATGACTGGATTGCTTGGCACGAAGATCTCCAAAATTCCTTCTCACGCCTTTTGATGGAAAAACAATTATGGGATCGTTGCATGTTAATATCTCCAAAACTCCTTCCTCTTGATCACATCCTTTCCGCAGTCACTTCCTCCATTCAGTTTGCAAAATTGAAAGCTGCAGAAGCCTTAGCCTTCATCTATCCACTATGTTCAACACTAGCACTTGCGATAAAATCACGATAAGAGCTAGCGGGAAAGGCAATGACGGTATCACTACATATGAAATCCTCATAAACGCATTCCTCTTCAAACGTTAGAATCGAGTCGCTCCTCTGTCTCTCAAAATTGTACGCCTGCACACACTTGTATGTTTCTGTCCATTTGCTTTTCATGTACAGGGCAAAAATCAAATTCTGCAAGTAATCTTTTATGGTATTTATGCGATTCAGAAGTTTGCTCAAGCCTCCTGGTCCCATGAATTGTCCATGTAAAATCACATTTCATTTATCCACGTTCCTTATCACAAATTGTATTTTCTCATTCTGACCACACAAAAGCCACTTAGTTCCCCAAACTTTTTGCTCTTTGGCTGCTTCCCTTCCTCACATTCAATCCCAAATCGAGAATAGTTCTGCTCCTTTTATTTATCTCACTTAATATGACACACCAATTCAGGTAGTAGTAGAATAATCTCGTTATATATATATATATATATATATTGTATTATGGAAAACTGGAGGGTATAAAAAAAAAGAAAATTGTGTGCTAGTTCATTGGCTTGTTGGCCTAACTGTCATCGTCATCACCTCACAAGCAAAGGCTTAAATGTAAATAAATTGTACTCAAATTATTTTAATGCAAGTAATAAAAAACACGCACACGTCCAATATACCAGTGAATTAGAAGACCCCAGTACGACCACAATGCTCACAACACCGACCAACGTGCCTTATAGACTGATGGGTATTGGGATGGGAATATCGAGGGTTTCGATCGATTTACAATCATAATCACACCGCAACAAAACAGATCACACTGATTCGAGAAATCTTGAATACAATGTCGAACATGCACACAAAAAAAAATATTCACAGAAAAAATACCAAGATTGAACATGGAACATCCAAAAACGGGAAAAAAATAATGGAGCCATATCACACTAAATTTTTTCTATGAAAGGTTACAAAGATTTTCACCATTTAGATCTTCTTTTTACAATACTATAACTTATAAGAATTCTGCTCTAAAGTTTCTCTTGATCGTATAAGATAAATTACAAAATCTGCCTCAAACTTCACAACTTCTATAGAAAGCCCTTCAAGAGTTCACCATGTGCATACGATTCGTCGCTTTGAATCGAGGACTTTATTCTGAATTGTTGAGATGAATGCTCTCGACGTAATCACGTTGACACCTGACATAGTTATTTTGTGCTCGCTAATCTAAAGCCACGAAGTGAAGGAGTCGCAGCGTAGCTACGCTCGGTTGCGGCGTAGATACGCTAATGCTGCCTAGTAACTTTTGGCACTCTTGGAAACCTTCCTTGCAGTTTTGTGGTGTTCATTCAGGCTCCACATCTCAATAATCTCTCTCAGAAACTGATAGCATCCAACACCTCTTCTGCAGATCTGTACCTCAATCTGTACTATCTTTATAGTCATGTATCGTAGTGTGGCTCGCCTCTCGTCTCAACATTTCTAGACTCCGATGGAAGCCAAGTATATTTTTAGTTTCTCGATAATCACCACGTTAGTCAACATATGTATAAGGTTTTCAGCCGTGTGTCTTCTCCAAGAATAATTCCTCATATTTTAAGAGGGCGCGAATAAAGTGATACCTTAGCTAAATATTTTGTCATATCATGAAAAACAATATTCCTAGTAAGATGAATAGCTCTGATACTATCATTATGAAAATTTCCAATCCTTTGTTCTTTGCCCAGTTCTGCTATAAAGCTCTATAGCCAAATCATCTCGTTGCTAGCCTCAGTGATAATAATGTATTTGGCTTCATAGTTAAAAGTGTAACAATCTTCTGCAGCTTAAAAATCCAACTCACTACTGTGTTCCCTTAAGCGAAAATTTACCCTAATGTACTTCTACTATCTAAATCTCCTATCTATTTGGCTTCTATAGTTAAAAGTGCAACAACATTCTGCAGCTTAAAAATCGAACTCACTACCGTGTTCCCTTAAGCGAAAATTTACCCTAATGTACTTCTACTATCTAAATCTCCTATCAAATCTGAATCTATAAATCCCTGTAGACTTATCCTTACACTTTTAAAGAAAAGTGTTATGTTGATTATTCTCATCAAATACCAAATCTTTTCTGCTTTTCAATAATGTCTGTCTGGATTACCCATGCACCTGCCGACCACTTCCAATGTATATGCAATATATGGTCTTGTACATATTATAACATACATCAAATCTCCAATTGCTGAATCATATGGAGTTCTCCTCATGTATGCTTGCTTTGCTTTAGACTTGGACAATAGTTTCTCATATAACTTGAAGTGACTATCTAAGGGGGTGTAAACTGGTTTTGCCTCATCCATATTTAACCTCTATAAGATCTTTTCAACTTACCTTGCCTGAGATAATCTCATTATATCCGCACTCTTATATTTGTTTATTCTCATCTTGAAAATCTTTTTGGTTGGACCTAAACTCTTCATCTCAAACTCCATTGATAATTGCTTATTCAAGTCCCTATTCTCTTCATATATGCCCCTGCAATCAACATGTCATCGACATACAAAAGGAGCATGATAGAACAATTATTAAAGTTTTTGATGAAGCAACAGTAGTCTTTCTGACACTTCATGTACTCACTGTCTGACATGTATCTGTGAAACCTTTGTACCATGATCACAGGGCCTTCTTCAAGCCATACGCTCTTCTTCAACCTGCAGATTAAGTTTTCTTTCCCTGGACATTTACAAGAGGATGTACCTTGGTGTATGCTTTTTGCTGATGATATTCTTCTCGTTGATATGATAAAACGAGAGAAAATGATAAAACGAGAGAAAAAACCCACGAGAAATATGAATTATGGAGGTTTACATTGGAGTCTAAAGGCATTCATTTGAGTAGAACTAAGACTGAATACATGGAACGGACTGAATACATGGAAAGCTCTAGTGGCAGAAGTGTAACTTTGGGTGATCAAATTATTAGCAGAAGTGCTCTAGTGGCAGAAGTGTAACTTTGGGTGATCAAATTATTAAAAGGTGTGAACGATTTAGATGTCTCGGGTCTGTTTTTCAAAGCGATGCTGATATAAATGGGGATGTTAATAGTAGAATTCAAGTTGGTTGGTTGAAATGGAGGAATGCTTCGGGCCTTTTGTGTGATAGAAAAGTACCGCTTAGACTGAAAGGAAAATTTTATGAGATGGTGGTGAGACCTGCAATGCTCTATGGTGTTGAATGTTGGCCTTTAAAAGAGAAGCATAATACGAAGCTAAGTGTTGTCGAGATTAGAATGATTAGGTGGATGAGTGGCTTTACACTTAAAGACAGAATGCAAAATGATTATATCCGTGATAGGGTTGGTGTAGCTCTTGTGACAGACAAAATTAGAGAAAGTCGTCTTAGATGGTTTGGTCACTCTAAGCGTCAATCATCTGATGATCCGATTAGGAGAGTAGATGTTTTAGATTCGACTTATGTTAATAAAGGCAGAGGTAGACCTAGGAAGACTTGGGCTTATTGTAAGCTTATTGTAAAAAAAAATGTTCTCAGTTTATTAGAACTAAATGAAAATATGACACTAAATAGGACGCAATGGAGAAAAAAAGTATTTATGTAGCCGATCCCACAGTGAGATTAAGCCTTTGTTGTTGTTGTTGTTGTACCATGCGTAGTTTCTCTTCCAGATCTCAATGTAAAAATACTCTTTACATTCATCTACTCTAGATATAGACCTTCCTCTGAGCACAACTCTGACAGTTGTCATTTTCATCATGGGATGTATCCATATGTAAACGTTAAGACGATTGTAATTTTATCAGTGTCATTGAGCAACTATTCCGATTATCATTTGACACACAATCAGATATCATAGGCAGACAGTTGTCAAAG